TTTCCAATTGGTGTCTATGTACATGATTTTTCAGAAAAAAAAAACAAGAATAATTGTTTGCATTTGAGGTAGCCTTTACATGAGTACCAAGATGAAAATGTAATAGTTAATGAATGGAGGTATAGACAATAAGCAGTGAGTTTTTCCTAAATCTTTTTCTGATAAAATGCGGTAGACTTATTTAAATATAGTAATGCACTTTCAGTTGATATAATACTCCAGCTTCTACATACCATACCTTGAAGCAGTAGAAAATTCAGACAACAAAGATTTTGATGCGATTCTGTTTATTTTAAGGAGGAAGGATGAAGATAACATAAGTTTGTTTTATGTGAAAAAAAGTTGCTCACAAAAAAATTTTGATAAAAAAAAATGTATCTCATTTTCACCTAAAAATTTGAATTTCTTATGCACAATGAGCGTTTTTCATTAGAAATAACATTTCAATCAGTTTTGTGAATAAAAAAAAGTAAAAAAAAAACATACAAAATCGACTAAAAGTCGATACTTTTGTTCAAGAAAACGTCAAAATTGCGCATATCTGTCTGCTTGGGTGCGCGCTAGCCGTAAAACACTACATATTTTGGACCATCTTTAAATGATTATGCAACACCAAGAAATATACCTATATATTAAAAAATTTCAGTGAAAATAGATGAGCTGCTTATAAATTATTTGAAATACAATTTACAAAAAGTCAGACTAAAAGGCGAATGATATTCGTTTTTCTTCAATTTTTATCCAAACAGAGAAAATTCAAAACTAAGGCTTGTCTATACGAAATACAATAATATTTCAAGCTCTACAAAAACAGTACTATAATTTTTATATATTGTAAGTCACTCTGAAAAACTAGTCCCTCCTTGTCGAGTTGTGATTGAATCGAAGTAAAGGAGAGAGAGAGAGAGAGCTTTTATTTTCTGATAAGTCTAGAACTACAACATTGTTACTTGAAAGAGGTTATATCACAATAAGAATCGTAAGATCTCCTTCTCAGATTCTAATACTGAACGAGAACATAGAAATCTCCTTAGAATTTCATGTTAAGCAGTTTTCTCTTCCTCGACATCGAAAGTATTTCCTTACGATGCGCTTTTTTTTAAAGACTACGTTACAGAAATACTGTCTCATTTATAGTCAAATATTCCAGAGAAGTTGTCCTGGCTATTGATTAAGATCGACATTTGTGTACTAAACAGAGATGAGCAACTACACTCTGTCTTTCTCCAACTCCAATTTAACTTCAATTCGAGTCGGATTTTACAAAACTGAACTTCTACCAAAACACTCTTAAATACACATAAGTTTTTGAACATAATTAAATCTACGATTGACATAAATTAGTAGCATATTAATTTATTGTTTTATAAACGTTTTCATAAAATTCAGAGATAGGCACATCCATTCTGTCCTGTTCCTACTCCATTTTCACTCTGATGAGAAAAAACATCAACTTTAGAGTTGGAATTGCCCATCTCTGATATCAACTATTTCAAAATACTTACTCTTCAGATTCTCCTGAACATATCCATAACATGCAAGCTTACAGAAGACTTCTCAGAACAAGTACTACATAAGGATTATAACATGATCCTCATAGAAGACACTCATTATTTTTATATTTTCAAAGCCCATAAAATCCATAGATCCCAATGTTTCTTACTGGGAAGCTCCGTTCGGATTGACATCCATCTTTTCAACATTTGCAAAAGAAGAAGTCCCCTTAGATTAAATAGATTCGCATGAAATCCTCTCAACTTTGTTCAGCTTCGCCTGTATCCAAACCTTCTCATGATCTTACTCAGAGTACATCACGCTTGTTCTTCGAACAGCTTCACATAACTTATCAAAAGCCTATGTAAATACTTAGGAGATTCTTCGGTAGATCTACATTCATCATACAGAAAATCATGTATCCTTAAGGTTTCCTACAAAACATAGGGATTAGGTCTGATATTTTGTTGTTCAACGATTTGATATTCTTCTCACAAGATACAGATAGAATCTTCTCTGATGTTTATATAAATGATCATTCTGCCAAAAAGATTCTGAGTTCTTGCAATTCTGAATAAAATCCTTAGATCCTTATGTTTTTCTATGAAAAACTTACATGGAATTAGTATTACTCTTTCTTGGAGAACCTCCTTACAGCAATTTCAAGGTGTTATTTTTATGATCAAAAAGATCTTGGCAAGAACTGGAAGTAACATAGATGTAAGAATCGTTACCAAATCCTTTTTTCTCATACGAAACTAAGAAAAGACTTCTGAATTTTTATCTGTGGAATGAGCATTCTCAAAGACGAATATCATATTTGTAGCGCTTACCCCCACGAGAGATGGAATCCCTTCGATAACGACGATTTCTTTTCTTTTTTGTTCATTGTAGTAATTCCCAATATTCCAGTCGATGCCCGATGGGAACAGAACGGCGTGACTGTTGCTGGAGGCCATGGAGGGGGTAGTGCCACCAATCAACTCTACTGTCCTTATGGTCTCTTTGTTGATGATGATCAAACGATGGTCATCGCTGACTACGAGAATCATCGTATCATCCAATGGAAGATGGATGATACGAATGGACAAGTAATAGCTGGTGGTAATGGCCAAGGAAATCGATTGGATCAATTGTATTGTCCAAGCGATGTGTTGATTGACAAAGAGACGGATAGTCTCATTATTTGCGACATTGGACGAGTCATACGATGGTCTCGTCGCAGTGGTACAACTCAAGGAGAAATCCTCATTGACAACATCTCGTGTTGGGGATTGGCCATGGATGATCAGAGATATCTCTACATCTCTGACTACAAGAAACATGAAGTAAGACGATATCAAATAGGAGACAAGAATGGAACTATTGTGGCTGGTGGCAATGGCAAAGGCGCTAGTCTCAATCAACTCAACTGTCCGTACTACATCTTTGTCGATCAACAACAGACTGTCTACGTGTCAGACAACTACAATCATCGTGTAATGAAATGGAATAAAGGTGCAAAAGAAGGAATTGTCGTCGCTGGAGGTCAAGGCAAAGGGAATGCTCTGACACAATTGTCGTATCCTCAAGGACTGTTCGTCGATACATTGAGTACCATCCATGTGGCAGACACGGTGAATGATCGAGTGATGCGTTGGCCTAAAGGAGCGAAACAGGGCACTGTCATTGTGGGTGGAAATGGTGAAGGAGAAGGAGCAAATCAGTTCAACGGTCCCTGGAGTTTGTCCTTCGATCAATATGGCAATCTCTATGTCGTCGATTGGAGGAATAATCGTGTTCAACGTTTTTCAATTGAATAGACTCATCGTGATAGATTTTTGTTTTGCGTTCCTTTCGCTTCAAATAAATCGCAATGAATTGATGAAATGAATAGCTTATTCTATTCGCGCGCGCGCGACCAGGAACCATCCTGGTGGAGCCGTGACGAGCGTAACGCTCATGCACGCACAGGACAGACTCATATCATTCATACCCACCCCGCGAGAGATATATCAATGAGTCTGAATAAGCCTGGTCGTGTGCCACGGACACCAAGATAGTTCCTGGCCAGTGTTTAACGTCTAACCTGAGAAGACGATCTAACTAACACTCATAACTCTATCTCACTCTCTCTCTCTAACTATAAAGAAAAAAAAGAAATGTATACTTACAATTCTACTGATTGATATTGAATGTAAGACGATGACTATCTAAAAGAAAAAGAAAAAAAATTTATTTAGATTCGTTTAAATTTAAAATAAGACTTACTTTCTATTATATCCACTGAAAAGAGAAAAGAAAAAAAACACATATTTTCAGAAAAATTAACAGGTTGCATATCGCTAACCCATTAATCTTAATGATATATATATAATTTAAAATAAGAAAAAAAAAATTAAAATAATACCCACATTTTTATATTGTATTGCTTGATATTGTTTTGTTTTGTACCATTAAGTCCATCCTAAAATATAATAAGAAAATTTGTTAGTTGATTCATGTAAATGAATAATTTTTACATTGAAAAATCATTCATTTATATACACTTGAAGAGAGTTATTTTTTCTCTGGAGAGACACAATTTTCTTTTTTTTCCACTCTCCAAAGAATTGTTATTAATAGAAGCTATTAATTAAACTTCATTCCATATATGCTTATACATAAAGCTTAATTGATTGCACACTTTATGTATATATGTAATTATTGATCATCAAAATGTACATGATCAATACACATATTGAATGAGATTGAGAAAAAAACATGGTCATTGTCTTGTACAGAATCATATAGACGATATTCGTTGTTATCTTGTCGATGAATGTTGTCACATGTTTCTCTGCTATTATATACAATGCAAAAAAAAAAATGATTATTTTATTATGATGAAATCATCAATATTTTATATCAACAAGGAAAATCATATGTTTTTTGTATTATAAAATGTTATATCAAACATAATAATTTATTTGAAAAATTAAAAAGTACATTAAGTCATAATCATATTTAAATGAATTTTTTTTCATTTGTTAAATTATTTTTCTATCGAGAAAGTCTAGAATAGTTTTAGTTGGTAGCTTATAAAAATTTTCTATCAAAAGTCATTAGAAACAAATCCATTTAAGTTCGGTCTCTCTTCAAAAAATGTATAATTTTCAGAAAAATATTATCTCTACGTCTAAACTTATTTAATATTATATTTTGTTTCTCAAAAAACGTACTTTTTAATGAGAAAAATAGAAATAACTCTTGCTCAATTCATTATAACAGCAAAGTTTATTTTTGTCTATTTCAACTCTATGTGTACTGAGTATTGAAGTTAATTTTAGTTTCTTATTACAATAATTTATTTCTGAAAATATCAATCTAAACAGATCATCCTATATGTTATATCAATTTTGAATAGAATTATCATATGAAATTTTTTTGTCTTTGTTTTTCATTTAAGTTATGTGCATGTAATTGGAAATAGTCGTGTCATTCTTGGATGAAAATATACAAATATTGGTTCAGGTTGTTCAAAAACAATGCAGTTATTAGTTGAACATGAACAATTTGCTAAAGTTTGTTGTTATTGAATTTGTTGAACCACCAACAAATCTTCAAGTCAATAGGTTACATTCATATTGAAATGTACTAATATGTAAACCAACATTTTTTAATAAAAATTGATGAAGAAAAAATGTTCTATGGAAAAGACTTTTATTTAATCTTTGTTGTTTTTTTTCATACATTTGTACAAGAAAGAAGAAAATTTGAGTAAGAAAAAAATTCTTTATTTATTGAAAATTAATTATCGAAATAAAATTTTAGATTATAAGGATTTAATCAATCAGATCTTTTTATTTCTGTTTAACAACTTCAAGTATATTTTTATTGTTATAGATGAATAATGTATTATTTTAAAATCTATTTTAGATGTTTATTAATGAATATACTGAAATTTCGTACGTGAATATTTTTATGGTTCAACATCCATCTCATACACTTTTACAACAAAATGGTTTTACTCAACAAGTTTATCTTAAATATAAACAAGAATGTCTTGATGGTAAAAAAGTAACATTGATTGTAGAGAAAAAAAAAAGATTATTAGTTCAGTACATATTTACAATATTTCAAGAGAAACAAGTTACTGGTAAAAAAAAGATTGAAATTATGTTGCATTGAACGTAAAGAAAACGAGTCTTTTAATGAATAAAGAACACTTAGCATATCTAAAAACAACAGTGAAAACTACTCTCCAGTAAAAATCAGAGTCTAAAAAGACTTATATTCTTATTTAAATAGCTAATAGAGAATATGTCTGTTGCTATAATTTTCAAAAAGAAAACAAAGATTTTACTCTTTTATGGAGTTTTTTTAATAAATACTATCATTCTTATCTACATGATAAATTTGAAAAGCAATAAAATAATTGTCAACGATTAAAAACACTAAGTTTCATTAATCGCCAAACTTTATTATTTCATAGGAAATATTTATGATCTAAAGTTATGTTGATTTACAAATAAAATATATTTTGTTTTCTGTAATGATCTAATTTCTAGAACGCGTTAAACTTGGTCCTGATCAATCAATGGAAATGGATACACTCTATCGTTTTTAGTCATTTTTCTTATGTGAAAATTTTAATCGTCACATGTACAATGAATTTAAACAATATGCTGTTGAAGACACTAAAACTGA